GACACGCGTCATGCTCTCAGACGGCTACATCTTCGGAAGGCCATAACTTTTGCATACGAGCTTCGTTTTTAATGTTCTTTATATCCACACGTAGGTGGAGACGTACTCTACAACTTTCATTTAGATATCTAAGGCTAAAAAGTACTTTATTGTAAACTCACTTTTTACGTTTTCCCGGTGTGGTGCCGGTTTTGTCGCGAAACTCCGACAAGTCATAACTTCTTCGTTATAACTCGGATTTCGGCGTTCTTTATATGTACGGAAACCTTGTGACATATACTAAAACTTAGTTAAGATTATTTATTATAAATAATCTTCCATCAAAAAGTCATTTTTTGACGCTTATCGTTTCTAAATTGACTAGCCCGAATCTGCAGCCGCTACAAGGTAACCCCTCTATTTCCCTTTCTCGGTCTTTACATGTTTTATTCAAAATGATATTTGATTCAAAGTTATATTTGATTAAAAGTTTGATGACAAAATGTATTTTTTGATTCAATAGGTGTTATTTATCTTATTTAAAATCTTTATTAAGTTTGTGAATTAGATTATTAGTGTTTTGGAGGTCAAAGTCCATGTATGGGTATAAAATATAAACTGATTATTGAGCTTTTTTATTTTTTTTTCCAGGCATGTATTTGTATTCGGTCTCATTTCTTCATACAAAGAAGGAAATGATTAAATGAAATTTATACAAAAGATATTGGGAAGGATGGTTTGGTTGCTCTTCAATCGGATCATGTGAGTAGGCTTAGTTTAGGTAATTTCACATTTTCAGTTCTCTTTCTTGCATTATTCTAGGGATGAAATTAGGTCCAAACCCGGACTGGATGGACCCGGACCCGGAAAACACGGAACCGGGTAACGAAATTTTTTAGAACCAGAAACCGGACCGGTATATAGGAACCGGTTCCGGTTCGGTTCCGGGTAAAATGGGTATAAAACCTGAAAACCCGGAAACATCAAAATGGGTAAGTTGGAACCGGATAAAGTGGATTTAGAACCGGAAAACCAGAAAAAACTGTAATTTTTTGGCAATTACTTACTACTTAGTGGTTGAACTTTAAAAATTTTCATATTGATATCCCGACTTCGAGAGACTGTAAGTCATTTAATATGAAACCAAAATTGACAAAATTATAGTCTAAAATCATGTACAAACACTAAACTACACTCCGGAAAAAACCGCATGTCAATCCGACTTTAAACGAATGAGATATGCATGTGTTAACATTTTCGCAAAATACAAAGTACAAAAACAAATAGCTGAAAAGTTGAAAATTTTCAGCTTTGATATCCCGACTTCGGGGGACTGTAAGTCATTGAATATTAAACCAAAAATGACAATATTATAGTCTAAAATCATGTAAAAACTCTAAACTAAAAGTTGGAAAAAACTGTATGTCAATAAGACTTCAAACAAAATAGATGTGCATGTTTTAAAACTTTCACAGAAGACAAAAAAAAAAAAAAAAAAAAAAAACTGAAAAACTAAAAACTTCCAGTTTTGATATCTCGACTTTGGGGGACTGTAAATCAATGAATATAAAACTAAAAATGACAAATTTATAGTCTAAAATCATGTGCAAACTCTAAACTACACGTTGGAAAAAACCATTTGTCAATCCAAGTTAAAACGAATGAGATATGCATGTTTTAAACGTTTCATAGAAACCAGTTCTGGCCCCTAAAAGTGGTTCCGGTTCCTAACATCGGTTCCGGTTCTTAGACCCGGCTTACCCGGACCCGATGGACCCAAACCCGGATTACCCGGAACCGGATAAAACTAGTTTTTAAACCCAGAACCGGAACCGGTTCTCTATATTCCGGTTCTAACGGTTCTGGTTCCTGTCCGGTTTTAAATATCATCCCTAATTATTCTTTCCTACTCTATTCATTTTCAATTTCTGCTTCAGGTTACCAGCAACATACCCACTTTTCCATTAATTTGTGGAAAATGCTTTTTAAGATGATTTCTAGAGACATTGACCTGAGTTGGTAATTGAGGTTGTAGTTAGTTGAATAATCTTCATTGTTTATTAATCTACTTGGTTGTGAATGATTAATAATATAGTAAAGGGTTTACAGAAAAGTTTACGTGGTACTTTCTCATGCATATGGTCCCATTTATACAATGTTAAAACAAAGGAATATATTCTGCTAATTGGATCTTATAAAAGGTCTTGGCTTTACCATTTCACTTCTTTATTTTTATATATATATTATAAAAATGATGTTCTGTATGCAAATGACATGGATTCCTTTACAGAAATCTGTTGGTTGGGTTTACACACTTCCGACTCAAGAACACAACATGAGGACGATGATTATATCTGACCACGTGGTATCCGTTCTATTATAATTACTAAAGTTTGTTTTATTATTTATCATATAAAAGCATTATGACAGACTGTTATTATTACATAGTTTGATTTTTATTTTAGTTATTCTCATAGAATGTGTGAAGGGAACATGGTGATGAAGGACATCAATGTTGGATGATGGTGTATGTAATGGAAATGAACAACGGTTACGAAAAAAAGCACTATTCATCATTATATTCTGGCAGAATAATCTAAAATAGAATGATAAGACTATATGTAATAGTATATTCTGATAGAATTATCCAAAAATTATGTTTGATTTTTTATTAGTAGGTGTTTTATTATCATAGAATAAATTATAATTTTTTTTATTTTTTAAGAATATGATAGAAAAAATTTAACTTGTATCTAAAAAAATTTATTCTTCGAGAAGTAAGGCTCTTTATTAGTTTATGGCTTGCATTTTCATAGAATATCATAATAAAAAGAATGTCATTCTGATAGAATAAAACCGGATATGATTAAAAATTATGTTAGAAGTATTTAAACTGAATTAATAAAAAAATCAAAATTCAAAATTAGGATAATCAAATATCCATTAAAATCCGAAATTTTCTATTTGTAAATTTGTGTTTCTTAATTTTAAGGAAATGCAAATGTACAATATTACCCTTCTTTTAATTGAATGACATTATTCTATTTTTCTTTAATTTAATAATATAGGTAAATCATTTTTCTAAAATAACTAAAATGATTGGTCCATATTCATCCTTACATCCACACAATAATTAGTTAGAATATAATAACCTAAGCATATATATATATATATATATATATATATATATATATATATATATATATATATATATATATGTGAGATCGGTTGAAAACTCATATTTCCCGAGAACCTGAGAACTAAAAGTGGAGCGTTGGATCAAAATTAATTCATTAAGGACATGATCGTAATTTTACCAATCTCATTTAATGTTTAATTTTTTGTGTTATTGATCATATTAATATAAATGTTTAAAAAGTTACATAATAAATCAAATTTTCGGATTTTTTTTAAAAACTGAATTTTTCGATTTAAAAAAAAAGTGCAGATTTTTTAATTTTGTATAGAAAACATGAATTTATGAAAAAAAAAACTTGAAAAAAATACTTTTTTTCAAAAAATTGCATTTTTTTTTTTAAAAAACCGTATTTTTTTTTTCAAAAAAACTTTTCTTTTTTCAAAAAAACTGCAATTTTTTCTAAAAAACTGAAATATTTTTTTAAAGAAAACTGCATTTTTTTCAAAAAAAAAAACTATAATTTTTTTTAAAAAAAGCTGCATTTTTAAATAAAAAAATTGCATTTTTTATCAAAAAAACTGCAAAATTTTTAAAGAAAGCTGCATTTTTTCAAAAAATAAAAAAAACAGTATTTAAAAAAAATTTACAATTTTTTCAAAAAAACTGTATTTTTTTAAAAAGTAAATTTTTAAAAATCAATAATTTAAAAAAAAGAACTAGAACATTTTAAAAAAATACTCTTGTTTTTTTAACAATAAAAATCAAAGTTTTAGGTGCATATATGCATATTTTCAAATGCATATATGCATACTTTTGATACTATAATGTTCGTAAGTAAATAATAAAAAATTTCATTTTTATTAATTAATCTATAAACATAATAACACAAGTATTTTATTCGATACAAAATAAAATATAAAAAATAAAAAATGCTACAAATTTCAAAGTGTTTTCATGTTTTCGTGTCAATATTTCTTAATTTTCTTCAATTTATCATTTTTCACCTTTTCAATATTCACCAAAATTTCTTCCAAATCTATTAGAAAAAAAAAATGATTGATGCAAAAACTCTCACAAAAATACATATGTGATTTTCATGTGATTAACATATGAATCGAATGCAATTCACATATGAATCACATTTACATATGACATCATATATATAAATCACATGTAAATCACATGTAATTCATATGTGAATCACTTGTGATTTACTTGTGAATTACATGTGATTCATATGTAAATTACATATAAATCACATGTAACCCATATGTAAATTACATATGAATCACATGTAACTCATATGTGATTCACTTGTGATTTACATATGAATTGCATGTGATTTACATGTGAATCACATGTAATTTATATGTGAATCACTTGTGAATTAAATGTGATTAATATGTAAATTACATATGAATCACATGTAACTCATATGTAATTCACTTGTGATTTACATGTAAATCACATGTAATTCATAAGTGATTCACTTGTGATTTACCTGTGAATCATATGTGAATTACATGTGAATCATATGTAAATTACTTGTAATTCATATGTGATTCACTTGTGATTTACATGTGAATCACATGTAATTCATATGTGAATCACATGTAATTCATATGTGATTCACTTGTGATTTACATGTGAATCACGTGTAATTTATATGTGAATTACATGTGAATCACATGTAATTCATATGTGATTCACTTGTAATTCATATGTGTTTCACTTCTGATTTACATGTGAATCACATGTAATTCATATGTGAATTACATGTGAATCACATGTAAGTCATATGTGATTTACATGTGAATCACGTGTAATTCATATGTGATTTACATGTGAATTACATGTGAATCACATGTAATTCATATGTCATTCACTTGTGATTGTTTTTTATACCATTTGCATCACAAAAATCTTTACCACATAAAACTAAAGATGAAAGGTTAGGATCAGCAGCAATAAGTCCATCTTCTACTTCATTTCCAAGACTAATGGCATCCAGACCACTCAACCTGAAAAAGGTCAAAACATTATCTAACAAGAGTTAGTACTTAACAGATCTAAGTTCTTCACAATATCACACAGAATTCAGAACCAGATTAGCCAATCATAACCACTAATTAACTAGATCATACGAATAAAAACATATATATGTCCACTATGAGAACCAGATTAACCACTGCACTATACTTTTATATGAATCAAATATGCATTAGTATATTTATGATTCACATTAAATTCATCACTGTCAACACATAAATAATAGAGATCCATTTAGAAAAATAGGACCTATTCTTTTTCAAACTCAAAAATAAAGCACCAATAACAGATGTTGAATTTGTTGAAAACTTGCATTCTTCTAGAGAACGGAGTAGCAATTGATGGTTTGAAAATGTTGTTCCATAAAAGCAGAGTTGATTTAATATACATAAGAGTTTCCATGTGAAAAATTCATAACAGAAGTTCTTTGAAGTGTAACCTATTCTTTTTCAAACTCAAAAATAAAGCACCAATATTTTCTAGCATTAATATTTTTGTTTAGAAATCGCATTATATTGTTCTACACAAAGTTTCAAATATATCGATTACTTTTGGTATTTTCAAACTGAAATTTTTTGAAAGTACAACGTAGCAATAGAAAAAAAATGGCCCTCTCTAAAATATATCCTTATCTTTTGCATTTGTGCCGAAAATCCCCCTGTAAAATCCTTACTTCCACTAAAACGAGGGAGATGGACCTTGAATGGGAAAGGTTGAGGGGTATTTAGTTTTGTAGTTGCATTTTCTCAAATATCCCTTCTAAGGTCTTTTAACTCAAAAATAGATGTAATGTACACAGATCAAAAAAGTTAAAGGAACTTAGAGTACAAAAAAAAAACATACCTCCTAAAACATTTCCTTTCCCTTGTCTTTTATAAAAATCTGAAACTCCTTCACCTGATGGATTTGGCAATAGAGGTGGATGCATATCATAGAAGTTTCCTAGAGCAGCAACAATTGTTTGAAAGCAAACTTTCTCATCATTCCATGTCACCTAAACAAGATATAATTATGCATTTATATTTGTGCATAATTGTATTATATACATTTTGGTGTGTAGCTTACATCATTTCCCAGACAAAGAAGAAATTCTGGAGCACGGTCCATGTCAAGTGTGTACTGGTCAAGTATGACAGGAAGCCTTGACAAATTGGCTTGTGGATCCACATGAATGCCAAAATATTCATCCAGCAATTCATATTTCTCGCTTAGTAGCTTGGCATTCATCTGTATACAGGTAATCATGATCCACTGAAAGAATTACTTGAGCAATCTTTCCTTTTAAGTCATCATTCTCAACGCCTTGTGAATCTGGATCTTCTTCAATTAGTGCCAGCATGATTAGTTCTTGCAATGGAGCAGGCTCACTTAACTGTATTGCATTGAAGTAACCAAATCCTTGCAGAACCAGTTGATACATGAGCTCTTTGCTACAAAAAGAAAAAAAGGAATTTAGTTCCCAACCAATAGGAACTATGCAAAGCTAACTAACTATATATATATATATATATATATATATATATATATATATATATATATATATATATATATATATATCAAGTACTTAGCTGGAACAGATCAGAAAGGAGAGGTAGTATGTAGTATATTACCTCAAATTTACAACATTGGCAAGATATAGATGAGTATTATGTTGAAGGAGAGCAAAATCATCATCAACCATACCAACATATGTGCAGTTCCTTACAGTGTCCAAAAGACCTACCCGAAAGAACCACATCAATGATCAGACATCAACAACACAAGAAGATTATGCATATATTGTTCATAATGAATGTGGTGATGAAGGGTACCAGAGTGACAACCACGTTCAAATTCATTAATAAGTTCCTGAACACTTGTAAGATCAGCAGTTTCCTTAGGATTCCTTCTATGTCTGATGGAAGACCTGCATTGCAGACACCTTTGATTGTAACAAGTAGTAGGGCATGAATACTATGGTCCAACTTCATGAGGAGTGTTACCGATTGTTTATATGGAAATATAGAGAGAGATCCTATTCCTACCTCAAAGAATTCAAACCAGAATTGCTTTCATGGTGTCTAGAAGGCTTAGCTTGCAGATAAGCATGCATCCTCCCAGAAGGATCTTGTGAATCTGTCCGCACCATCTTATTTACATGTATTTTTTGCGACCCTTGAGAATATAAGAAAACAAGTTTGAACATGAAGAGATATTTCAAGTGAAAGCAAAAGAAAGAACATCACTTCACTTGCATAGTTGCATACCAGAAGTTGATGTATTTACAAAAGAAGCTTTGTTTGCAGCTACTGAACTCACAGGAGAGCAATCCACTGCCTGTTAAAATTCGGTACATTAACACATGAACATTATTTTCGGGCCAATGCATGTCAATTAAATCAGATTATAATGAAACCCAAAACTAGAAACAAATCTGTACACAACAGGTGAGATTATAGTGTTCTATGGAAATAAACTAGATAAGTAATGGCGAAACCTGAGGTGGAGCTGGAAATAAATGAGGTTAGATGAGAAGCGGGCATCCCATGGCCGTACAGTTGCAGGTTTAGGGAAATAAATTAGATTACCGACTTCCTTTTAATCTAGCGATTAGGTTTTCTGATTGTTGTACGGAGGGAAGCGAGCAGAGAGGAGATAATCGATGAAGAACAAGAGAGCGAGAGAGATCGTTGACTGATAATTTAGTTTTTATCATATCAAAAACCGATGCCATGGCTGAATGGAAAACAAATGGCGTAGCCATGACCAATAAGGACGAGCTTATAGTTCTAATTAGATGAGATCAACGAACCATAACATCAAACGATAATGAAAAAGTCAACCTCCCAACATAATTGGGAACTAGATTATACTTTTGAACACCATTTAGTGATAGAATCAATATCAGAAGTAGTCAATTTTACCATAGAAGCCAAAATTAGATCCATATCAGATGCATAAACACTTAGAAGAATTAGACATTGCTGTGTAGATGATGCAAAAAATCAGATTGCAAACAATCGATCGATTAGTGGAGATCTAGTAGAGAATAGAGACGACTTACTTTGGTATCGAGCATAACTGCACAGAGAATACCGGTGTTATCCATGGCAGTTTGGAGATTATCAAGCGTTTCCTGATGATACTCATGAGATCCATGCGAGAAATCGATTCCAATTTCCAGATCAACGGCGACCAAAGATAACGACGATGGGGAAGAACATGAGCGAAGGGCCGTCTTTGGAGGCGATGTGACGGTAGGAGGTGGGATGAGAGTGAGAGAGAGAGAGAGAGAGAGAGAGAGAGAGAGAGAGAGAGAGATGGACAGGGTTTACCTGATTCAGGGTAATTCATCACTAAATGCCCCTGAATCATTTAATTATCATGCCCCCGTGTTGTTTTTTCCCAAGTATTTACAAAAATGCCACAAATGATCCTAGCCTTTTATTATTTTGATCTAACGGCCTAAGTTTGGTTCTCGGGTTCTCGGAAAACTTTGAGTTCTCAAATGATCCTTGCTCTCTCTCTCTCTCTCTCTCTCTATATATATATATATATATATATATATATATATATATATTTGATTTTTTTTGTTTTTTTTATTTTCTACGTAATATTTTCTTTTTATATTTTTAAAAGACTCTCCATAGTTATTGTTACATATTTAATTTTATTGTTACATACTGTTTACTTTAAAAATATTGTATATGCTTAAAAATAAAAGAAGAAAAATATAAGAGACAATATAAAATATTTCACGAAACAAAAACATATTTATTAATTAAAAAGTAACGTTTAGAATTGATCAATATTTAATTAATATTTAAGACATTATGGATACTTTAAAAATAACATTTGAAAAAAATAATACAAACAAATATGAAAAATAAAATCGCTATTAAAATTGAAGAAAATGACTTATCAGGTTAATTAACTTTTTGTTTTATTCAAATGTAGGCAATTTTTTTGTTTTTTTTTTGTATACATTTGACAATTTAACTTGTTAAATATGTGTACATGTTATCATTGTTACTTGAGATAGCCGGTGACAGTGGTAATATGTGAACACATATAACAAGGTAATTGGTCGAATGTGTACAAAAAAAGTTACATAAATGTGAACAAAACGACAAAGATGATTACCCTAATAAGTCGTGTCACTGAATATTAAGGACAATAGAAAACTCACCACGATCCAACAACCGACAATGTTGCATAATTAAGCTTTTTGACCAAACATATTTTAAAATATCACCACTATTAAGTTTAGCAAACAAGGCACCAAGTTTTTTTTGATTTGTGACCACATCATATCATAGCATGAGTGCCATGATGGTATGTCTAATTCCAGATTAACGGATAAATCTTGTTTAAGTTGTGATGATACTTAATGAAACTTTTACTGTCTTCTAACATTTGAGGTTTAAGTTGTATATATGATTTTTTAAGGTTTGACTATATAATAAGATTAAAAATATGGGATTAGACTACGTTATGATCTTAAGATCCTAATCGCCCCAAATCCAAAAATCTCATTATAAATCTTGTTTTGCATAGATCTTAGTATGATCAGGATCGTTTTTCTCTTGTATGCTGTTAAAATCGTAATATCTTACGATAAAATCGGGGTCTTAACAAACAATTGTATTAAACTTTGAGTGACTCATATTACACTTTTAAATGATTGTTATTTCATTATTTTGTAGTGTTCTACATATATATTTCTGGAATAACTACAAACAAATCAATATTTACTGATTTTTTTAAATAACCGGGAAACACTTATGATTATGACCTATTGCGTCGACATATCATCGCAATGATGTCTTCGGAAACGATTGTCACACATGGATCTACAGCGATGGTCCTCGCTCCATTCCGCCTAGCGATGACATTTTGATCTTTAACACATTTTGTCCTTGCAATTGATGTCACTGAGTGTTGATATTTTCAACTATGGGTAATACATTTTTTTTTGTTGTATTGTATCATAAGCGGATATTTAAGGACTTTGTAATGATTATATATGTAAAACATATATTATTATTTTAAAATACTTTATTATCACATCACATACATAATACATTTAATCATAGAAGAATGTTATCATAATACATATCTAAAGTAAGTACGCTAGCTTAAGGTCCTGGATCTATGGCTCCGCTGCCTATATATTAATATAGGCTCACAAACTCTAAAAATAACTTTTACGTATAAGAAAACTAGTTTTCCAGTTATGAAATGATACAAGTCCTTGGTCTCCTATCTCTGTCGACATCTCCGGCTTGATGCGGTGATTGGTACGTAGTTTGCTTGTTGTTTACACTCAACATTCTTTAGCATTTTGAAAAATCCTCTCGTCGATTATAATCTAAAAAGTACGACGACCTTTTGGTGAAAAGTGATGGATCTAATACACAAATTCCTAATCATCGTTTCTGGTATTCTATCGGTCATCTCATGCATCTTCGTCTTGCCGATACTTTCATTGTTCCGCATCTTGAGGTTTTGTATCAGATCTGTACTCCGAGAAAAACTCGCCGGGAAAGTGGTGCTTATTACAGGTGCTTCATCTGGTATCGGCGAGGTAACCTATCTACATATGACTTTCTTTTTTCCTTTCAGAATACGTGCGTAAATATAGGAACTGACGATAGGTTTGACTGATTACATGACTATTGAAGCATTTGGCGTATGAGTATGCAAAACATGGAGCGAGTCTAGCGTTGGTTGCGAGAAGAGAGGAACTGCTTGCGACGGTTGCCGGGAAAGCCAAGGAGCTGGGAGCGCCGGAGGCAATTGTGATCAAGGCCGATGTTTCCAAGCTTCAGGATTGTAAGAGATTTGTCGATGAAACAATCAACCATTTCGGTAAATGTGAGTTTCGCTATAAATCCTTTCGCATTTATTCTGTTTATTAGCATTCTCTTGAATTCACGCCCGGCCATATGTTTACGATTAATTTTTGTCTAACTAATGTCCAACTCCTTTTAGCGTAACACGAACATGTTAAAAGATTTAGTGGTACGCAGGAAATTTTTATTCAAAATTAATTATTAATTATATGATATAAAATAGTAATAATCAAACGTAAAAACGATTACATGCACAAAATAATAATGTTAGGATGTTTATTGTTTTTGAAGTAAGTGCTACTATATATTAATATATGTTATGTTAATATTGTCATTTATAATTTCCATAAATATTAATTTTTTATTAGTCTTACTATTGGTGAAAAGTCTCTAAAAATAAGTAGTTAAAAGGGGTAAGTAGGCCATTTAACAAATCTAAGCTTAAACAATCACTTTTTGACGTATTGTGTATCAAAATGATTATTTGACTTGTGAATAATCAAATAACAAAAAAGTATGAAGTTGTTACTTTCAAACAAAAGTACCTATATATTGCATCTCCATGTAGCGACAAAGTTTCACATCACTATATATATTATAATTGTTGTTAAAGAAAAAAACATAAAATTCCTGAATGGGTAATTATCTACTAATACTTCAAATCTTACTAAACACAGACTTTTATTTCATTTTGACCAGATCTATCTATATAAATGATTGATCTAGAAAAAGAGAGATGAAATCTAAATAAATAGAGAAAAAAAGAGAAATGTTTGCTTAATTTCTCATGTGATGGAATTGATCATTTGTGAAGAAATATCTGTTTCTTTCTTTAAGTTTTGTTAATATTCATTTTTAGGTATGAATATTTTATTTTCACTCTATCTTGGAATAGAAAAAAGTATAATGTAATTTATTTTTTATTTACATAATTATTAATCATTGAAATATTGATTAAATTTTTGGTTTTAAATAAATTATAATTTACATCTATAAATATCTTTTGTTATAATCTTATCCAACTATTTTATATATTGTAATAACATATAGTTTACAAAATTTATATATAAATTCTTTTTATATATGGTAGGTATGGAGACATTAGAGGTGCACAAAATCCGGATCCGATCCGGTTTCGCTTACCTCATCAAAAATCCGATCCGTTCTAATCCGATTTGAAACCGGTTTAAACCGATTTTAGTGGGTTTTAGCGGATTTTGGGGCGGATTTGGATCCGGTTTTTAGCAAATCCGGTTTACGATCCGGTATCAAATTCGATTTGGAATGTAGGATTCCGATCCGATTGAAAATCTGGTTTTAAATCCGATCCGATCTGGTTTGGTCAAAACCGTTTTTGACCCATTCCGGTTTCGGATTGGATCCGATTTTGAATAGTGAAACCGGTTTTTGTATGCATCTCACATGGTTCTAAAAAGCGCATCATAGCGCCCCTCAAGGCGCCATGACGCGAGACGTTGTGTAGCACTGTAGCCGTTACGAAAACGTTCAAGATGAGTTTGTTAAGCGTAATGTCCAAATAACATGTCAAAACGCGTCTTATCGCGTTATGACACAAATCTTTTTTCAAGGCGTGAGTTTCTTTGTTTTTTGTTTTTTTTTGTTAATTCAAATCGGGCCTAAAATTACTGAGGTTTTTTTGAACTTTTTTATATTAAATTTTAACATAACACTTCTAAAAACTTGATATATTTGATAAAATTCAATAAATATATGATTTATCTTTTTTAATATACATAAAATAGTCACATCTTGACAAACATCATGACTCGCCAAAGTTCGTCATAGCTTAACTTTGACCTTGCCGTCAAGCCCACACATCACATTATTTAGAACCTTGATAGTAGGTGAACCAAAGATGCTAGTAGAAATAATGACTTAATTTATCACCTTCCTCGTCTCATACTATTTTATTTGATCTAAAAATCATATTCTTAAAAGAACTTAACAATAGAATTTAAACAATATTATGTGATTGTTTGTGTGAGTTACGAACGAAGTATAATCATCTGAAATAATTTTCCTAAGAAAATAAATGATTAGACGTAGGAGATCTAGAAAAATTATGAATGAAAATGCAAACAAATAAATAATTCTATAAGTACTAGTTGAATACAATTTTTGTATTTGTGGGCGAACAACGCCACAACCAATATAAAATGGATTGCATTTATCGGTGTTTCTTCGTGCCAAAAAATTTCATGATATTTGTAGGAGAATATGCATGACCTACTAA